TCTAGTGGCCTAATCTAACCACTAGAGTGTGCACATGGTCTGGTATTAGTTTGTGCTGGGAGATTGCGGTATTAGTTTGTGCCGACAGATTTCAGTTATCAGTTACGTGACTTATGTCGCGAGATCAGACCGGTATCAGATATCAGTTTCAGTTCAGTTCAGTTATATATGCTTAGTTCATGATATTGTTATTATTTACGATGTTTTACATTAGTATGAGTTTCCACGGAGCACAGTGCCATAGTGCTCACTCCCCAGTTTTATCATGTTTTTCAGGTCAGGATGTCGGGTCGGGAGCATGAGCGTGACGTGACAGGGACCTCAGGATATTCATATTTTGGACTGTATAAATATGATGATTTACGCTTCCGCTTACGATACTTTGATGACTTATGATGTTTTGATGACTCTTGACGTACTCGTTTTGACGAACTTATTACTTTTGACGAATTTTTAAGTAACTTACATTTTCAGTAACCGGACGATTTTATTAAAATTAAAACAACAGTTTTTTAAGTTAAGTCATGATTTTTAAAAGGTAGCACCCCGAATCAGTTTTCGCAAAGTAAAAAGGTTTTATTTTAAAAGACTTTGCGAATTATTGCGCACTCTGATTTGACAGTAACGAGGGGTGTTACAATTGGTATTAGAGCACGTTTCTGCGTCTCTGATAAGTTTTTCAGTCAGTAAGTTTTCAGAAAAACCTGAACCGTCATGCTCACGCCCCGCCGACGACAGGTAAGTGCTGATTCAGTTTTTCAATTATAAACATATTACTTTGTCTATGCTCAGAATTGAGGATCAGGACTTTAGTTAAGATGCTAAAATAAGGTTCAGACTTTAGAGTTCGGACATGACTCTAGAATTCAGGCATTCAGATATGACTCTAGACATCAGGATCTTCTTATATGACTCTAGAGTTCTTCAGGATTCACGTCAGTAGTTATCGACCACTTTTAGCTACTCGTCAAGAGATTTGTGTGCCTTAGTAATCAGCCAGAATGTTATCATGTATTCAGTAATGTTAAACTTTCTCAATGTTCAGATACCGCACCGTAGGGAACCCGATCACCCAGTTTTTATTCAGGCCACAGTAGTCGCACAGTTCCGCGACTATCATGTTGAGAAATTCTCCGGGTAGGAAATCCCTGTATTGGGAACGAGTGGATGCAGAACCTTAGAAAGAGGATTAAGTTTGGGAACTCTAGATTCAATCAAGTCAAGTTAGCAACTTGTCAGAAGATTTGTAAGCACTCATGCTAAACAAATTTTAATAATCATGTTTCTCAGATATTTTTATCGAGAACTGCCATTTTGTCAATCAATTGTCAGACTCCAGGGAGAAATTCCTTGATTTAATTCGAGGAATAGACTCAAAGTTCCT